TATATATATATATATATATATATATATATATATATCAAGAGCTAATAATAAATTAATAATAATAATAATTATAATAATAAAATAACACACTCTAGGTATTATTACCTCTTGATATATATATACATATATATATATATACCTGGTTTATAGGAGGACATGAAGGGATTTCTTGCAGACATCCAACGCATAAACGTTACTGAACTGTCAGAGGCTGATAAAGAAAATCTTGATATTCTCAAGGAAGAAATAGAGCTATTCGTAGAAGGCATTCAATATAAAGGGTACGCATGCTTTTCGCGCGCGTGTACATATATATATATATATATATATCGTAATTTTATTGCGATTAATCAATCAGTTAATTAGCAAGTTGAAATAATAATCAGTGCATACTATAATTGCCTCTCAACCATTATTCTATTAATTATCATTGCGTTTTTAACGCCTAAATACGGAACTGAAGTTGTGTGAACGGACTGTGTGTTATTTTCGCCAGGTTTTATTTCCCAGTCAACTTTCTCGAAGGAGTGCAGGTTGATTTTGTCACCCTAATCACACAGTTCATGCCTCTCAACACCGTTGCGGACTATAACAACGTACTGGCAAGATACGCGGCATTTGGAAAGCAGGTGAAATTGTGGCACCCGGCAGTTAGATGCGATATGATATGACTACTAGGCACTTAGGATATGACTACTAGGCACTTAAAAAAAAAAAACCCTAACCCTAAACCCTAACCTAACCTACAACCCTAAACGCTAACTAGGAACCTAACCGCTAACCCTAAAAGAAAAAAAATTAGTTATTACATTAATAGTGGCCTAGTAGTTGCATATCATATCGCATCTAACTGCCGGTTTGCGAAAATTGTGATATTGTGATTATACGTTTTCTTTTACTTGCTCGAGTCGAAGCCGGATTGGCGTATAGATATCATCGTCTGGATACATGCTGTCTGCTGACGACTGCTCGTGGTCGTGCTATAATTGTTGATGAAGACGTGCGCGCGAGATTTGGTATGCGATCGTGTCGCCGTGTAGAATGCTATGAAAAGATTCTATTTACGCGCGTGTTCATATGAGTACTGGTACATATACGTGCTCATATACGATGAAATAGTAAAACTATGCTAAGATTCTAGGCAGGATATTGTTATTACCAGCTAATCTCTTCACCTCTTCCTGTTGTTGCTGCTTCCGTTGCCCAATTGCATGCACGTGTGCTACTAATGCAGCATGTATGTAACTGATAAATATTTATATTTGAAAATTACGAAAATGCACGCATAATATTAATCCTACAAAGAACAGGAGTTTAGTCTTACTTTTTCAGAAATACCAGCCAAAAACTAACGAGAATGAGCGGCAATTTGAAACAAGAGTATTCTAGTTTAGTACAAATACGTTAACAACAACCAACACGCGCTTCAATAATAATACGCCAGTGAGACAGTTGCAAATTAAAGGAGAAAAAATGAACTTGTTGCACAAAATAGTTATTGCAACTGAGTTCAAAAAACAACAGAAAGAGTAAATGAACGATGACATGTACAATAGATACAACCCGGTAAATACAAAAACATGGCAAACATTTATGACTCAAATCTGTGTCGCAATCATGTATGGAGAGAAATGTGTAAGCAATGTGCGGTGGTACCCTAAATATAATAAGCGATAATAAGGTGTGCAATTTTGTTACGTAAGATACATGTTTGAATTTAATCTTCACAGGTAGATGAAATTATCGAAGTAATGCGAAAGGGTATTGAAGAAAAAATTACCTTCCCTAAAGAATCAATGGTACGTTTTGCGGCTAATGCTTATACGTTTAAGTGTGATACTCATATTTCTTATTTATTTTTAAATAGATATTACAGAATCACAATCCCAGAATTGGTATGCATAGTTACAACGCGTAATCACACAGCATAGTTACAACGCGTAATCACACAGCATAGTTACAACGCGTAATCACACAGCATAGTTACAACGCGTAATCACGCAGCATTAAACATTTATGTCCTTACACCGATAAAGAAATATTCTAACGATGTGTTACAGAAAGGGATACAGGAACAATTCGAGGCGTTAGAGACCAATCCGGAAGACTCTCTTTTCTACGAACCCTTTCTTCAAATGAACGAAAGTCTCATAACAAATGAATCAATGTACACAAGATGATTTGAAAGCAGCGTGTAGAAGTAACCCGTATTTTAAAAGTACCCTTTTTCCGAGAGCTGTTTCTGCACGCTGCTTTGAAAAACATTGGGTTTTCGGTCTGTCCTACCCCTATAAGATATTCCCAAGGTAGAGACAAATCCGGTTTTTTTCTCCCTTGTATAGATACTGTTAAAATATACTTTCTGTGGGTATTTGGATCAATAAGCGTTGCGCCAATATTTATAATTCAAACAATCATAAATATAGAAGCAAGACTTAGTATAATACTGAGTGCGTGTAGCTATAATAATATCTATCGCATTGCTACATCTTGAGCAATAAACAAAACTATTGTCTATTCTCAGAGCTGAATTGCAATCGCGTGGATTGACAGCTGTCACCGATCAAATGTTACCGGCATTGAACAAGTTGAAAGAGTTCATCCTGAATGTATGTATCGTCAGACGAGGCAAGCATTAGTAGTAACACTGGTTGGTTATAATAACTTACGCGTTCGATACTCTGAAGACAGTCGACCTGAGGACGCGAGACAGAATCACATTTGGTAAAGGCATCCCACCTGCTGCAGAAAATATTCTTGAAAGCTTGCAAGCATCTTGCAGCGATTTTTTGAAATATATCGTGATAATAATATTTTATGTATCTGCAGCAACTAACAGCCCCTTGACTGGAGAAATATACTAATGTGAATGTGCACGCTTTGAAGGCGTTGCCGGTCCTGCCAACATGTAACCTCAGATATGCTCGTATACTTATAGGACTACATGAGCAATCTGAGGGATAATATAGCTTGCTATAGCCTACCGAATGGAGAAGCGATGTACAAACAACTGATTAGATATCACATCGGCTGGGACATGTTACCGAGTGAAATTCACGACATCGGAATGGATGAAGTCAAACGAATAAAGGATCAGATGCAAATCGTAAGCACAGACTGTAACATATTGATATACATAATACACTACGAAATACAGCAATCGCTATATGGGACAACAAGATAAATCAAGAACGAAATCAGCATACGAGAAACTAGTGCGTGATTTGTGCAATAATTTAACGTGGAATACTAAATGTGCTTCAGTATATATCGCCGCTATTGTATAATCGCATATCGAGAATTATTTTTATTATAACAGTTTAATGTGTGTCTACGCCATATTGTTTTGAACAGATCATCGATAGACTGGGCTTTCCAGACAAGGCTACATTTGATGAGTATTTAATCAACAACGAAACATTCTACTACGAAAAAGAAGTAAGTTGACAATTCCATGCCTTGCGGCATGCAATTATAATTCGACGAATCTATGCAATCGTTTTAAAATTCTTGTGTGTAAACGCACACGAATTATTGTAGTCCGACTGTAGGCCTATATGTCATGCGTGCACTGCGCAACGCAACAGCGTTTCAGCTAGGTATCCTTTGTAAAATCGCATAGATGCTTAAATAGGCTCTTGTTTAGTTTTGTCTGTTCGCTATATTAAGGCACGAGCCACGCTATTGATGTAGTCGGCTGTCAATTAAACGTGGTTTTGGTATATCACCATTATAGGAAGATATTCTAGATGCTTACAGACATATTGTGTACAATCGGATTGAACCAAAGCTGCTAACCTGGTTCAAGAAGCTGCCGAAGCAACCCGTGCTGTAAGTATACTAGCATTGCTCGTTCTCTCAAGCCTACGTAAGGATTACAATCATACCCGTGTGTGATTTGATTTGTATCAGGAACAGTCATATTCCAGCCAATGACTCCGTGAAAGGCAGATTTTCGTAGAAGCCCCCAAATCAGAGTTATGATTATTGTAGCTGCAATTAGTGTTCGGTTAGTATTGTTTATTTTATCTTGCTGTTTAGCCTAATTCTGTGTTTGATGTACACGAATTGTAGTAAAGTAATGTGCGTTTCATATTATGCCCATGTGGCGCCACCTCATTTTTTTTATCTGTTTCTATTTAACCTTTGTCATTGACCTGTTATCCTGGCCTTGAACTTGACAATGACTTTTTACCTGGTTGCCCATGGATCTAGGAAGTAACCTCACGGATGTGCTGTCACTGACGTCATGAACCTGATGTCACGTGACCTTTAACTGTTGAACTTTTGCCCTTGGCCTTTGTCCTTATATATTTTTAGTTAATTAGGCTAATCACGTTAGGCATATATAGAATAGTTGTATATACGTTGTAGTTACGTAGTATGTTATATGCGTTAGGGTACTTAATTAGCTTGTAGAGCGACAATTCCGATGTAATAGATATGTATTATCGAAAGTCTCTTTACTCTTTGGGTCTACTACTCCACATCCTCTCGGAATAATCGGTTAGGTTAATACTCTTTCTCTATTTTAAATATATAGTTTTAGAATAATAATGAATTGTTGGCAGATAGTATGCTTGTGTGCACAGAAAGGCCACAAAGAATTTGGGAAAATTGGAGACATTGCAGCTTTTAACGAATTCCCTTTACTCTCGGCATCTACCTCTCCGTATCCCACGGTACCCTCGCCCTATGTCACCGTCCTTCACACCTTCTCCCCGCATTCCTCCTGCCTCCTACTCAATTTTCGACCTCTGCTACCACCACTACAGTGTACTACTCCCCCCTTGTTCTCCTCTTCCTCTTTCTACCCCTCCTCCTTCTTCCAACCCTATTCAACCCTACCTCCCACATCAGCTTTGTCGGTGTGCTTGCTACATTAAATACTAAATTCACACAAAATAACATTTCTAATGGCAGGTAGTGGGTCCATAGATCGGTCTCTATAGGATATCATGCCACAACATAAGGAATTTGAGAAGACGGAGCGAGAGCTCGTTATTATTGATAATGTGAGTCATTGTAATAGACTCTTTTCAGATAAATCTTCTTGGGAATGTGTCCAGTCCACTTTAAACAAAGAATTTCAAATTAAAAATTGATTTCTGGCAGATAGTGAGCCTGCGCGCATAGAGAGAGTATGGATAATTTGGAAAAATTTGGCACATTATAGCCATTACGAAATCTCGAACCGCTCCACATCCCGCCGTATCCTCCTTTTGTATCTTCTTCCTTCTTCACCTCCTCCGCGGATTTCTTTGGCCCCCTCTTGCACTTTCATTCCCAGATGTTAAAGATTGCCACCCGGTGGCGCTTCTAGAGGTATTATGGAACATGTATTGCACTACTTACGCGGTTTGCACCCTTACGAGATAGAAAGAGAGAAATTGAACTAGAGATGGGGGAGAACATAGAGAGGATGAGAGAGGGCAGCCACAGAGAGATAACCAGAGAGGGGGGAAACAGATATGTAACGTGAGGGGAGACAGACAGCTAGAGGCAGAAAATAAGAAAGTGAGATAGTGAGAGAGAGAGAGAGAGAGAGAGAGAGAGAGAGAGAGATGAGCAGAGAGAGAGAGAGAGAAAAAGAGAGAGCGAGAGAAAGAGAGCAGAGAGACGATGAGAGAGAGAGAGAGAGACGATGAGAAGAGAGAGAGAGAGAGAGAGAGTGTGTGTGTGTGTTAATAATACTATTGTATAGATGATTACGAATGATATTCAATTCATTTCGTTCATTTCAGTGTTGAAGCAGCGCCAGCTAGCCAGCCCTTCGCTCCCCAAGCCTACTATCAGCTGGGCACAATTGACAGGCCAGGTGTGTTTACAGTTAACGTCGCTGATCCTAAGAATCAGTAAGTATTTTCACAGCATCGTATATTATCCGAGACTTATATATTCGCATTTTTTAAATATACACGGAGTATTAGTGTACTATCAATAAATTTATTTTCAGCATAAATATTTCAAAACGTTAACATATACGGATGTCTCTCAAAACTGTTAAAACTAAACTTGAACCATTTGCGTTTTGCCTTAACGAAAAAAGCGGTGGTGTGCAGCCTTGGAATTTCTTGAAACGAACGGCAAAAGCGAGTTATCATAAGTTAAATTTTAGTTAGTTAAGTTAAAGTTAGAGTTAGTTAAAGTTAGAGTTAGTTAAGTTTTATCATAAAGGATGACGGGAATACGATGTTTATCTTGTACACTCATGTAATTTTAGTCAGCCAAGAACAACCGACATACATTTAAACCGACATACCTCGCTAAAATATGGCGCGAAATGTATAACAAAGTGTGTCAAAGTAAAATAGTGTGTTTCTCTCGCGGGGATAATTAAACAATCAGTAATGCGATCACTTCTCATCTTGCCACAGACCTGCGTACAGCATGGTCTCATTATCTCTCCACGAAGCTCAACCTGGACATCACACGCAGGTATGTACGTATACGTCCCTAAAAGCTAGGTCACCTGCCAGCAGCGACGCTATGAAATGGTATCAGCGCGGGAAAACTTCGAACCTATTGAATCTCTGTCTCTCTCTCTCTGCGCGAAAACACACCGTAACGTGGCGAAAGATGTCTATACGAATAACGAATGGGAATTCTTGGCTGTTATTCGGTGTGCCTCGGAGCATCAGCTACCTTTCGAATTAAGCGAAAATTCAACGAAAAATGTCTGCTTTCATATAGCTACACTCGCTGAGTTCCGTTTTAGATTGCCCTAGCGCTGGAAAATGAGCAAATTCACGAATCCCGGCGATCGGCGGATCATCGCAGATACGCAGAATGTCCTAGCCGTCTGCCCCTCTACACCGCGCACACCGAGGCAAGTATGCGCTAGCTAGCATATTAGCTTTTTATCTCCCTCTATAGGCGGCTCTTTCGGCGGAGGACACAACGCTCCATGCTTCTCGTCGGACGTTCGATGATCGAAGATACGGAGAAGCACCGTCTAAGTTTCCCATATACACAGCGTACGGCGAGGTAACGGTGCTCGATTCTGATGTAGGCCTACCTACATGTTTTCTGTGCAGATACGTATGCATGCACGCACGCACGAGTGTAAACTGGTGTATATAGTTTCAGTAATTATTGAAGAAATAACCAACCCTTCCACTGAGTCTCAACTCATTAAAATTATTTATTTAATTGATTCCAATTACGTTTAATAAATATATATATTAAAGGACTCGAACCTCAAGCTCATGAAACAGTTGGGTTATGGTTCTGCATTGGATATTGCTCATTCTCTGTTAAAGGGATACTATAGACTCTAGGATTTTACTGCATACAACTGTACTTACTGTGTAACAAATCGTCTATACCCACACGTAGGGGGCCTACTTGTTACCAGATACCTAATTTAATTGTTATAATTAATTATACATCAACGCTACGAAATTTGAACGGCGCCATTGACACCCGCGACCGTGCTGCCACTCTGAAAAGGTTGCGCATTACCCATAGAGATGTATAAATAAATTTATTTATTTACACTCTATTTGTACACTCTCTTTTTGTACTATTTATACATCTCTATGGCATTACCCAATATATTTTGCACGTTACAGACCGAGGTCTAATCACAGAGATGCAATTATATTTATACCTAAATGCTATTTACCCGAACGATGTTCATTTTAGGACAAATTTATCCATAATATAACTGAAACTATATGTCGTTTATAAGATATTACAATCTTTTTGCCTTTAAATTATTAAAAATATAAGAAACACCCTCGGTCTGTAGTCCTTGGCTGAAAAGTCGTTTTGCCCAAACTTTTCAGATAGTGCGCTTTGAGTAGCGCCACCGTCGTTATAATCAAACTGTGTGTCGTTAGTTTTAAAACATTTTTAAACATATTTCTAATGATGATTGAACCATGAAACTTTTTATGTAGCGTAATTTTAACCTTAATTAACTGAAAATAACCCTAGAACCTAGAGTAAAGGATCTCTTTAACTATATTCAGCTCGGTTTTGTATATGTTTCTCATTTCGCGATTGTAAACGCTGTTTTTCAGGGTTGGGGCCTATACGCAGAACGACTGGGGGAAGATATAGGCGTTTATGAGAACGACTACGAACAGTACGAATTGATGCTCTTTTATAGATAGATTTTGTAGATGTAGAGACGAGACAGATGTAGAGTAGAGTAGAGTAGAGTATAGTATATAGTAGAGTATAGTATATAGTATAGTATAGTATATAGAATAGTATAATATATAGTATAGTATAGTATAGTATATAGTATAGTATAGTATAGTATATAGTATATAGTATAGTATAGTATAGTATATAGTATAGTATAGTATATAGTATATAGTATATAGTATATAGTATATAGTATATAGCATATAGCATATAGCATATAGTATATAGATATAGTATAGTATAATATAGTATATAGTA